TTACCTTACCTTACCTTACATTACATTACCTTACCTTACATTATATTACCTTACCTTACCTTACCTTACCTTACCTTACCTTACCTTACCTTACCTTACCTTACCTTACCTTACCTTACCTTACCTTACCTTACCTTACCTTACCTTACCTTACCTTACCTTACCTTACCTTACCTTACCTTACATTACATTACATTACCTTACCTTACATTACATTCATCTACCACAGACCCATCTGAAGCCTTGCTAATTCAAGTTAAATAAGCAATATCTTAATCAAACTTTACTCAATTGTAAAGCATGTATAAAGGAAATATTTACAATAAAGCCAATATATAAACTTCCTTTCCGTATAGACGTATTTACGTCAAATTCTCCGGAACCGTGGTTCCACTGACAACTTTTTCCTCGAAGTTGACACTAGTATCTTGAAGGAACGTGAGAAATTAATCTTCGAGGACTTGTAGATAACGGTCAGCATTCACCGTTTCTTCGTGAGGAACTGACCCATAAAAAAATATCAGGACCCTAAACAGCGCACCGCACAAGTTCATTTTAGGAGGTGTATTTTACGCGGGTTTCTGTGGCCCATTAATGCATGTCCTGCTTGTTTACGTGTCCATTCAGATGAAAGTAAACCTCGTCTGTAAATCAGCTGCAGAGGTTTTCTCTGGAGCCGCAAAAATGAACCACAAAATTCTCGTCTTTATCGCCATCACTAAATGATGCTGCGTTTGAATTTTATGCGAAAAATATTTCACGACTTTTTGAATAATTCTGCCTGCTGGTGGTTTTCGAGGAATCAAGTTGCTGAGAAAGACAATTTTCGGGTTCTGTGTGACTATTTTCAAACGTGTGTAAGATCTTATGGAGTTGCGACTGTGCTCATTTAACGTTGTCTACCACTGTCACAGTCGCTTCAGACTTGACTTTTCGGCTTCTTGCTATTTGCAACTTTCCTGCATAGAAATGTTACTCGAAATTTACGCTGAACAAGAGTAACATTTGCAGTCTGGTAAAATATTTTCACGAAAAATGTTCGTTGTTTTGTTGTGTGCTCAAACGACTGTTCTGATTTATGAGGAATGTAATTAATATTTGTCATGTAGTAGATAGATAATTAAAAATGTGTTTTTGTTGTCATCCCGTAAAAACTCATTGACCGTTTTATGTCCTTCAGTAATAATGTCTTACACTGCCATACGAATAAGTTAAACTTAAAAATAGCTTATTTCTTATAAATAAAAGCGGAATAAATAAGAACGTGATTGTGACTCCAGTTTACTCACGAAACTTACACATCAGCATTTATTGATTTTACTCAGGTCATACATACATCCGAAGGAGATATATGTTAAGTAAATGAAAGTAGTCGAGATAAAAATGATCAATCGCTGTATGACACAACAAAAAGTAAATATTGTTTGTTTCATACCTTTCTTCATCTGTTTGAAGTAGGGCCTAATTTATTGAGTGGCAAACGCTTCGTTACCCCTCTGAGATCCAACGAATCAGCAACACAAATTTTTGGGAAGTGACGGTTTCTTAAATAAAAATAAATATCGATATCATCTTCAGGGCTGAAGATGGAGACAGCATGTTCTCCCAAAAGATCACCATGATCAAAAGGCAGCTTTGTTATTTTATTTGACGATACGGGCCTCGTATTTAGTTACAGCCTCCACTTACGTTGGTAGGGGTATCCATATTCACGATATGTAGAAAATAGGAAACGGAACAGCGGTTTACGTCTCGATAAATAAAATTAGCTGTCAGTGTGTCAGGAACATTTCTGTTGTTACGTAATTTATAATTATAATTTGTATACTGAAACATAAATACATAACCATGACCAACTGTTGCGGATTAAGCCTTGTGGCCTGTTCTAATTCAGAATCAGTTCTGAAATTATAAATCAGTTTAGACATTTGGCAGTACTCCGACGAGTGATCATCCCGTTAGCAAGGCCTCTGCCCACACAGGAAAGCGCAGCACAAAAAGACGGCAACAAACATCCCTGCACTGAACTGTTTTCGAACACGCGACCATAGTATTTAATTGTGCAAGACCCACGCTCCAGACCGCGTGGAGTAACCAATGAATTGAACAGCCGCTTATATTGGTGGTTTAAATGCTAAAATTTATGCGCGCACACACATATCAAGATAAAAACACTACATCCAAATAATCTTAAATAATCGTTATATGCGTCATTGAGATCTATGTTTCTACACATTGATTAGTATCTTATGAAGTTAATCAGATGGATTTAGGCTTAGTATAAATTGGAGATTGTACTGAACAGATAATGTAAGGATGAATTTGTCCTTGATGCTTAATTAAGCACCACGACATGAAGACTTGTGGGGGATTAGAGGTTTAGCTCTACGCATTCTTAAGCTCTGTCGTCAGATCCACGCTTCGACCGCTTTACCCCCGTGAAGAAAAAGCCGGGACCCATTGGATATGCGGCGAATGGTCCACAGAGCCGGTCTGGACGTGGTGCACCGGTAAGGATCAAAATCAAATTTGCCTGACAATCTGATACTTTGAGTGTCACTAGCCTACCAGTTTAAAAAAAATCGGTTCAATAGCTACTTTCGGAAATTGAATCTGTAGACAGACATAGCCTTTCCTCATGCGTTTGTTTTACGTACTTTGTACAAAGAACAGAGGCTTTACGCCTGCGCAACAAAAACTTCAGAATCTTCTGTGACTCGGGTTGTGCTGTTTGTGTTTATGTAATATTTTTCTCCCAGTATGGTGAAAAATAGTTATCTGATACAAGAACACGCGTTTAGTTGATGCCATCAGTATTTGATAGATCGGGACCTACCAGCGTGAGCAACAACTGAACTTCATTAGGAATATCAAAGACTAGAACGTGCCTAATTGCTATACACGTTCAGGGCTAACTACGTATCGAAGTGCATAAACTGTATCAATGTTGAAAACTGATAAAGCAACAAAAGTTTCCAGGTATTTCATTAATGACTAGTTTTGTTGGAGAGAAGAACTGGGTAATGTATGATTTTAGGTTTCCACAGCGGCGGGTCTGAAGATTACTGTCTTCTGGGTTGTTGTGCCGTGTAGTCTGGTAGATGTCCACCAACGTTTCAGAGACCCTCGATGCCTCCGTCATCAGGGCGATGAATCGCACAACAACCCAGAAGACAGCAATCTTCAGACCCGCCGCTGTGAAAATGTTTTCAGTCGCAGGTTAGTGGCATTTGTAATGAATTGCCAAGACGTTTCAATAAACTGCCATTATTTTTAACCCGGCGGCCCACGAGTCGATAAGAAAGGGAAATGTGGCTCCAGATTTTGGGAAGTTGAAAACCTCTGTTCTGGGACTAACTCGATTGCAACTGTCAAAGGAAATACATCGGCAGCTTTGTTAAATTGAACTCAGCAATTGCATGATAAGTATATTTTATATTTAATCTAATTGTTATTTTGAGTCATAGGCTTATATTTTTGACCATACGGTTATTTGTTCTGTTATGAGTATTTAGTAATAAGTGCAGGACGAAGTAATCGGGAACAAGTAACATTTTAGATCGCGACGATTTTCTATGAGGTAAAAATATGACGATGAAACAAAATTGGTGTATATTTTTGTCTCTTTGTTTGTTTACTTATTAATTTGTTTCTGACCTCCAACTTTTGGCACGTTCTTGTGCCAGAAATGAACACTAAATTTTTTTAAGAGACCTTCACATTCACTTCAGTGTTATAATGCAATGAAAAATACGCAGCGGAATGATCTACACAGTAGCAGCTCAGAATTTGCTGCGCCGCGTTGTAGCTAATATTGTTTGGTACGCACAGGAGTCTGTGAACATTTGAAGGCGATTTATAAAGTAATTGACCAACAGTTGGAGTATTTCCTTTTTCAAGCATTTAGATGTTTTTATAGTGGTCACAATAATATTTGATAAGCATTCTTAGAAACTGCTTGAAGTATAGGATTTTAAATGCAACCCAACTGGCCAAGTCTCCGTCTTGTATGCTGAAGCTGAATTTTAATGGATATATTATTTCAGGATAATATTAAAATGGATCTTCGGGACATTGATTTGGTGGGTGTGGATTGGAGTTATATTGTTGAAGATAGGGACTGGTGGCGGATTTTTTATTAAAACTGTGATGAATCTCCTCGTCATCATCATCATCATCATCGTCAATAGCGCTAAAACTCTCTTAAGAGTCTTGGCTTCCTTTAAGAGCTTCCGTCACTCTTCTCTATCCAGAGCTCTAGCCCATCACCTTCTAATCCCTATCTTCCTGGCGTCACTGACTTCATCGAGCCACCTTGCCCTTGGTCTTCCAATATACCTTTTTCCTCCTACCTTTATATACAGGAGTCGCTTGGGCATCTGATCATATCCCATACGTTATACGTCAGTGGTATTCAACCTGGATTACGTGTACCCCCGGGGGTGCGCGAAGACATCTTAGGGGGTACGTGAAATTTAAAAATATATATATTATTTTATGATAAACACCGAATAATCAGTAATGTAATTTATTTACTTTATTTTAGATGTAGATTATATACTATGTATAACTTTAATTATACACCAAAAACTTTGGGGGTACAAAGTTGAAGAGAAATTATATCTGGGGTACGCGAACAAGAAAGTAGAACCCGTGATGATATACGTGACCAGCCCAGCGGAGTCTTGCTAGTCTTATGGCTGTTGTCAACCCTGGTTCTTTTAAAAACATTTATAATTCATCATTACACCTATTTCTCCAGGAGCCTTTGCCCTGCACTGGGCCATAAATTCTTCGTAGGACCTTCCTCTCAAACCCATCCAGCATTTGCTGGTCACATTGGGAGTGTCCAGCACTCTGACCTGTACATGATAACTGGTCTAATAAGGATTTTATATAGTTGAACTTTTGTTGTTCTTGATAATAACTGAGATTAGAAGGTGCTTTTGCGAGCCAAAATAACTCCTATTTGCACCCATAATTCTAGTTTTTATCTCCTCCCTAAAGGTTTTCCAGGTGTTTACTGTTGTTCCAAGGTATGTGAAAGACTACTTGTTCGAACAGATATTCTCCAACCTTTGGAGGTGGAGAGCTGGTGCTTTCCTTCCTCGGTTTTTGGGGGTTACTAGCATAAATATTGTCTTCTCCTGATTAATTTTCTGACCCCATTTTCTTGGCTGATTTTTCAAGTGCTGCAAAGACTTCTATTGAAGCTGCTTTTGATCTGGCTACTATGTCTACATCATCTGCAAAGGCAATTATTTGGGCCGACTTATTAAATACATGTCCATTGATGTGATGAACCTTCTGGTTCAATAAAGACGGAGAATTTCATGACTAGTTGAGGACTCTGCTCCATGAAGTAAGATAATTAATTAGAAATTTATGTTGTTTGCAAGGAAAATGTTTTGTTGAGTGAATTTGGTTTACTTTGGTTGTTTATAACAATTATGTCATGCTGTTTTGTGGTTAGTGTTTGGATTTGGATTCTTATGCATAATACTTTATATCAATAGAATCTATTCCATATGTAGCAGCCAATGTCTGACACGCTTGACTAGTGAGTCGTTTGTGTGATGCGGATAAATTTGAAATTAAATTTTGATGGTGGCGACTCTGGAAGCAAGAAATGCAAATGAGGTTATGATGGTGCCTATGGTGGAATCTGGCAGCGTTTGAATTTGGCGTGAATCTGGAGTCAGGCGGTCGGTTTTATGTTGGAGTGTTTCGTAGAATCTGTAGTCAGTCACCGAGAAGATGTTTTCACGTTATTTAAATTTATAAAATTCCTTTTTGAAGCAAAAAGGAATTTTACAAATTTCGTACTTTCTATGTGATATGCAAAGATAGTACTGCAATTAACTGTATTACTCTTCAGCACAATAACGTTTTATTTCTGCCAATTTTAACTACGTTAGTGTGTCCAGTAATAAACTTTGTTACATGGTAATATTAATTTAACTCAAAAGTGAAACATTTCAATTGACTTGAATTTCAAAGGAACCAGATATGATGATGATGCAAAGCCAACCGAATATGCCTACGTGTTATTCTGTGACTTCCATCAAATTGGAACCAGAAAGAATATGAGAGTACATGTAGATGAAATTGCCTTATGTAATTACAATTGACAATGTAGAGTTAGCATGTAAAAAAGATGCGAAGATTTGAATGTCCTTTAAACGTTATAGGCTTTATCTCCCTGTTGGTTGTCATTATTTTTTACGCCAGTCCAAAAACTTCTGTCGCAACACATGTTACGTCCACTTCATTTCATTCGCAACATACCACTTGGGAGACAATCCAAATTGATTACATTGCACTACTTTTTCAAAATTACGTTAAACAATACGAAAATAAACTAAAAAGATGCTTATTTGTGTTACGCGGCTACCCTTCATTGCGTAAGCGAAAAATGTTTTAACTAATATTTCTATATTTACTGGCCCCTAGGTATAATTTCGAAATACAATGCACTGCGTCTGAGTTACGTCATGGAGATGCATCCTAGTGCAGGGAGTACACAGAGAATAACCCCCTGCTGCCATCTACTGAGCCTTGTAACAGTATAGTAGCCCAAATGCGACATCTTTGAGGGAAAGTAGGGAATTTATACGACTAGACACACAAAACTGCACAGATGTAAATTACGAGCGACGACACACTGTCACAAGATTTACAGTGCTTGGCATGACAAGCTCTGCAACACTGGAAATTTTTATTTCCCAGGATATGAATGTGCCTGTTGATTACATCACTTTTGTGGGAGCATATGATTGACACCGGTAAATAAATTGCCTCCTAGTCTGCGAATATAGAATGATCTTTGATTGACTACAATTAAGACCGTGGATAATTGTGCGCTATCCTCGTAAAACAATTGTGCATGTGACCGTCAGATGGCGTAATAAATATTTATATTATGTTAACGTTAACGTGTTAAGTGACGAAGTAGTTATGTTTGCGTCCAATATTATTTAAATTATTTTAATAATCTTAATTTTTCTTAGTATCGCAGTTATTCTTGAATTTGTGTATTATATGAACCATTTTCCGAAACAAATCATATATCATTGTCAACTATAAGCTATTTTAGTTTTAACAATAAACACATTGTTTAGGCATGTTGAGTTCTCGGTGTTTAATGTAAAGCCCATGTTTTAAAAGTGAATCATATTCTTTTGACATATGCATTTAGCACATTGTTTTAAATTTCACATCTGGGAAAACATTGGCGCGGTAACTTGGTAGTATTTGTTGTAGATGTTGGTAACCATGTTCGAATCGGAGGACATGTCAAGTTTTCTGAGAGGTCGTATTAGGAATAGAATTACCGGTGGACGGTACTAATTTTTCGCAATTGCGTGCTGTATGTTATAACATTGATATGAAACGATACCTCTTTTTTGTATTCTGGTAGTAACAAACAGATCAACATGCCAGTCATTCTTCTTGATAGATTACCATTGCCGAGTTTACGGGCATACACCGTCATTAGTGTAGTGTTGCTGTCATGTTCAGTTTATTATGCTGTACAAATAACCAGTGATCCAAATTGGAAAGTGAATTCAACTGCGTCAGGACCAAATTTGAACACGAATGAAAATAAGTCGGATGAAAGTGTATCATCAACTGGAGCCAATTTCCAACATAAATCTTTGGGTCATCACTTCAGTCAGTTGGTGACATTTGTGATTCAAGAACCACTTTGTATATGGGTAAGTTCTTGTAAATCTGCTTGTGTATGTAGGTGATACAAAAAGGCCTTGCAATATAGTGACCATGTATATCTCTTTCTGAATTTGAGGTGTTTTTTGCTTCTCGAGAATTATTCAGACGTACCCAATCCAATTAAACTGCCAGTTGAATTTTTTAAGTTAAATTTTTAGTACACAACCATTCTGACTTAATACAGTTGTTACTGTATTGTAAACATTCACTGTTAACACTTTTTTTTGTAAGTAATTCAATCACACATAGACTACAACTTCTTTTGTATGTCTTTGACATTTTCTGAAATGTTGACTTCATTAGCTTGTTTAGTCAAACAATTATAAACTTTTTTTACTTGCATTGTGATGCAAGACCAGAATTAGGAGCATGCTGTTTCTCATTTATAGTTAGAGATTATCTGAAATTGTCCTCTAATTCTGAAAAGTGCAACAGCTGTTTCATAAATAACAATTTTAAAAGTTTTCTTGGATACTCACACAGACACTTCTGTATCAATCTCTTTAGCATTTCATCAGCTTGTGTGTAATCACCATGTCCATAACCCCTTTTACTCCATGATTTGGCATATTTTGAAGAATTCTCATTAAATTTAGCATAGGCAAAAGGAATTGGAAACCACTCATTTCATATTTTTTTAATTCTATTTTACTAACAGTACAAATATGGTGGTCAGAAAAAGTTCTGTACGGAGAGAGACATTAGTATCTTGACTATGATGTCTAGAAATTTTGTTTATGTAGAATACATAGTAACAAGTTTTATATGCAAATGTAATAACATGGTTCTGGGGCGGTCAAGGCCTGTAATAGGCTGTAGAACCCGTGATGATGATGATGATGAATAACATGGTTCTTGTGAAATATGTTTCTGCTTTTCCTTTTGAAAACCATTGTAGATAGGCATATGAAATTTGGTGTGTTGAGTTGAAAAACATATCAACAAATGTTTTTTTTATAATTTTCTTATATGGTAAAGTTACAAACATCTATATCATGGCTCCAAATATAAGCGTTCTACTTTCTAGAGACGCCGTAACAGAGGCTGGTGACAAGAACATTTTTGCCTCAATCTTAACTGTATTAAAAGGTCTATTGAAGTTATGTATTATGTGTGCAAGTTATGGAAAACAGGGAAAAGTGTGAATTACTTTTGTCCCCAATCTTAGTGTGAAACATTTAAGGTGAGTTATTAAATATCACTTATAAAATTATTCACATGAGCAGTTCTGTGAGTAGCTGCATTTTATGAAGTAAGTTACATAGTAAATATAAGTTGTGCATCTGGAGCTTGTTTATGTTTATGGTTCATATCTTTAAAGTTATATCTGACAGCTTTCAGATATTGGAAACCAACATTAGCAAAGATTTTGCATGAAGATGAGCCACTGAATTATATAATCATTAATTTATGTTAGACTAGGCTGTTGGTTATTCACATTACTGGATGTGAACTAAAGTAACATATAATATCCTTACATAACTGAACATTATTGACAATGTCAGGATGTATGAAACCAGTTGTAGAAGTCCTTCTAGCTTCACTGATTGATATTTAAATGAAAGTAGACAGAAATTTTTAATTTTATTGCATCCATGAAACAAGTGCTTTGTTCTTTGGATTCATGTCTTGTCAGAAATCTACAAATTACTCGCATTGAAAAAAATCAACAATTTATTACTTTGGAGTTTACATTGAAGTTTGCCAGTAATTTTATTCGCAAATGACAATACCAAGCCATAAGAGATACTGGTAATATTTTATCTGAAATTAAGAAAAAATAAACTCCTCAGCAGTCAGTCAGTTCTGTCTCCACTTTTATTAGTATTTACGACATTAAAATTTTTTTCTTTGTCATGATATTGTAAGTTAAAGTTTTCTTGTGCTTATACACTACTAATGAAGGAAACATGGATGTACAGCTTTATGCATTTTTAACCTTGACACTAGATGGTGATGAGTGCTCATCTTCACATTGTGACTGGTTTTCCCATGAGGGAATGAATCCCAGATACCCATTGGACATAGCGACAGAAAAATCCCTGCCTGTGCTAAGAGTCAAACTCTGGCCATCTGTCTGATAACCAGTCATTCTGCTAAGCTACCTTGGCTCATAATTGCTGTCATAATTCTTATTCGTAATATAAACTGTAAGTTACAAAACTTTTAATGAAGTGACTTGCCAGCAGCAGCAGCAGCAGCAGCAGTTTATTCATTTAGAACTAAATGGATATCTAAAGGCTTGTGTTTCAGTTTTATCAGTGGTAGTTCAAACTTCATCCATACTTGGTTCTGGGACTAGTGGTTCAGTAGTATGTATTTCAAGCTGTCAGCAGCATTGTGGATGTTTTGTGGCTCACTAAAATAATTTTTCTGTCTGTCCAGAATACCCTGGGAATCCACAAGTAGATTAGTTTCATCCATCACAAAGTGTATCCAATAAAAATATGCTTTGATTTATTTAGATCTTTACCCAAATCTCATATATCTTTTTCTTTTTACTACTTGTTTCCATCTAATTTTCCATATAATTTAAATATTTTTTTAATTTCATTCAACAAGATTTTATTTTTTGTTTTACACTTCCTTTATTTGTTTGAAAGCTACACCCGTTGCATTGTATTCTGTATTTTATGAATTTAAAGCATTCTTTCACCATACTTTATTCTAGAGGGTAACTCAATAAAGCTGTTAAAAATGCAAGCTTGTTTTAATAATTATTATGAGCAGGAATCACTAAGATTGATAATAGTGTTGTCACACTTAATGCGCTGTTATGTCTTGTTTTACACTATACATATTTCAGCTATTGTAATAATTTTTAGGCCATGTAGACTTAATAATTGCAACAAAGCTATTTTTGCTCACTGTTTAAAGTACCTATAACAGTATGTAATGTGTTATGAGATAATGTTGACATGTAAGATCTGAAGATTTCACAGTGACTAAGTATAATTAATTTTTCTCAGGCTGCCAACATGTCAGGTGAAGTACCATCAGTACCCTGAGGACGAAGATGGTTCTCGAAACGTTGGTGTTTTCACTGATCAACCACCTGACACAGTTGGTAGCCTGAGAATAATTTATTATGATGTTGACATGTAGTGGACAAATTCCATGAATAATGGAATGACAGTAAGTGTATGGGCAACATTTCCTTTTGTATTTGTGTCAGAACCAAATTAACTGTGTTTTTATAACTTTCATAATTTATTTTGTACAGTATTAATACAGTTGTATGTAAAAATAGGAACTGTTAATGCATTGACATTTGGACAAGCTGTTTATTCTCATATACATTGAAGGAATGGTTCAGCTTATCTACATATAATTTATGAGTACAAAATTATGAGAATCTATATGATATATAATTTAATGTTTTAATTAATATGAATAGTTTAAAAATATTATCATTTTAAAGTAACGGAATGACATATTTAGGTAATGGAATGACTGTCTGATTTCACTAGTGTTTTGCAGTCCACAACAAAATCATTCTGCCTTTATGGTAAGATCACAGACGTGGTACTTGTTCCTTTAATCGGTAGTAGGTACTCGTAATTGCTCTGTAGTCTGTCTTCTTCTACCCATTATTTATCTTCTTTAAGGGTAATGCATCACTTTCTCAGGAATGTTTTTTCATAACATATTACATGAACATCATTTACCTGGCTCACAAAGAAACTGTTACTACTTTTTAAAGCATTGTACACCAAGGCAAAATCACCCTGTAGTAAGTTAGAACAGTTTTCACGTTTCTATGAACTTTGCCTTTTATTAGTTTTCTTTTTAAATGTATGCACTTTTTTCTTTTGTGTGTGTGTGCGTGCACACGCGCTAAAAATGAGTAATACTGGTAATCAGTAATAAATGGACCAATAGGCATAATGCCAAGAATGCTGTTGGTCTCTGCTACTGAAACTATTCCATTCCATATTTGGTCCAGTACTTCCAGATGTTTTGCTATTTGAAAGGCAGAAATGTAGAAAACTTTTATGCCGTGTGTAGCCAGACATTTTTTAAAGGAAGTTAGTTTAAAAACTTGAATTTTTCAAAGAACAATGTGCTGGCTGCTCAGCTTAGTGGGGATTTCCGTTGAAGGTGTTTTGGTTTGCCCCGCCGCACGTCATAAACTGTTGGCATCATTAACGGTCAATTCCTGATCAAGAGCAGTCACATTTCAGTGCTGATGTGTATTACTAAAGATTTCAATAAGGTTCTTTTATAAGTAACTTTACCAAGAATGTGTCACGTTAAATGCATCCCAGTATCCCATGAGAGGACCTCATGATTCTACTGACCAATAGCCAGTGATAGAAGATTAGTGAAATGCTCAGGAGTGCTTGGCATGGTCCTTATTCAGTTCTTGCAAATACTTCAGCATTACTCAGTGCATGTTGATTCGCTTTGCAAGTTGTCCATTTTTCTCTTTTGATAGTTCCACCAAATCATCAACACCTTCACCATGTTATGTGGCAAGGAAGTGTCATGAAATTGCTACTTTATAGTGCTCCTTGAAAAACATTGAATTTGCAGTTAGAAAACATTTTAATCAACTGGTAGCACAATCACTGCTGGATTTACAAAGATAATATCTCATATAAGTTTGTCAAGAAATGTGTGCACAGAACATTTCTTGTGATCAAGTTCATCACTAATAACTGCACGAGAATATCCTTTGTTTTCTCCATTCCAGATGAAAGCTGTGTAGACAGTGATTTGTGACTTGGACCAGTGTGCACTTTGAGCTTCATTCTGTAGCTGGATTGTACAATTTTTAGCAAAGCCTACTAGCACAATAATGTTCTTAGGATTAGCTGATTTATTTTTCTCTTAAAAGAATTTGTTTGTTTGTTTTGATCTGGTGAATGTATAGTTTAATAATTCATGCGGCAATTTA